AGGATGAATTTAAAAAAAAAAAAAAAAAAAAAAAAACAGCCTTGTGGCTTTACAGTGATGCCACTGAGCAGACATCCCTGGAGATCTTGTGTGGTGTATTATATTAGTTTGGCTGGGGACCCGAAATGTCTGAAGCCATGATTTCATCAGACTCTTTTTCAAGTTGTAACCTAGCCCTCGAGAGGCACAGAGCTGGCATTGTCACTGAAGAGTTCATAGGAGAAAATTATTCATGGTTGGTTTGTTTTTTCCATTTTGCTATTTAATTTAGATGACTGGGTGCGGGGAGTGTTTTTGTTTTTCAACATATTCCATAATTTAGGGAAAAGTGCTGGACTGAGTCAATAAACCAGCAGTAAGATGTTTAAATAAGAGATTTCTGCTTTTAAGACATTTGAAGACAGGCAAAAATTACTTGATTGCTCCAGAGAAGTATGTTTCTGAAAATGTGTTCAGAGATACATACTAATCTCAAGTTTATAGCGTGGAATTTGCATGTTTTGGCATATGCTTAGATTGCCAGGTCAGAGCGAAACAGCTTGTACATGACTTAAATGAATATTGTACATTTCATTTTGTTTCAGGACTCTCTGCACATGTAATGCTTTCTTTACAGGAAGCTGTACAGTAGACAGCTCTCTCTGGCAGTGGTGGTAGCCACTGTGTATGTATCCTGGCTAGCCTGAGGTTTTATTGCACAGCAATTGTTTTAAAAGAGAAAAGTTAATTATGCTAGAAAGTGCAAATGCTGGAAAACAGCTCTGCTTTTAGATAGCGTTTTTCAAATGACATGGTGGGAATAGTTGGAGCTTCTGTTCTCTCTCTTGGCTTCTTTATCATCGTGCTTAGAAATACTGAAGGACTTTTCTGTTGTTCATGTCTGGTTACCACAGCTCAAGAGATCTACTGTGGTTAAGTCTTAAAATAATAAATGCCCTCCTAATGTATGAGTTGTATCCAAGAGAAGTTGAACCTGATTTCTCTGTCATTACCCGCTTGAATACGTTCATTTCCCCCTCTCATGCAGCTGGGACGCTACAGTGATCCTTCTTTAATTTTAAGCAAGTTTTTGAACTGCTTATCTTTGCATGGCGCTTGTCCCATAGATAAAGCAAGCATTGATGTCTTAATTATATTACCCCTATAGCTGGCTGGAAGCTAACCGTTTTGAAGCATCTTTATAACTTGCTGGGGGAGTAGGTGAAGACAGGCTGGACTGAACAGCTTTACACTCTACATGGCAGCTGGCCAACCTGTTCATACCTCACTACCTGCCGTCTCGTGCCCACTTTGGGTGTCGGAGGATATAGAAGGGGGAAGTCTAAGGTTTTGGTGCGAGAGGAGGGTCAGTGAGGGATGTGCACATCTCTGTAAGGTTGTATTTCATTAGTTCAGCTGCATATGCAGCGAGTAGTTTCAGACCCGCTGTGGTATTTTCCCTTGCAGCCATTGCTTCTGAAATTCAGGTTGGTACATTCAGTGCATTATCAGCCATGGTATCTCTTCTTTGGGCTCTGTCTTCACAGAATTTGTTTCTTCTGAAGAAGCTGCCTTCATTGAATCTTTCTTAGTTAAAGGCCACATTTGAGGTCTGCCTGGTTATTGCATTACTGGACAGAATGACCAGCAGCAGCAGAACAGGAACTTTTTTAGAAAGCTGATTGATCCGAGCGGTGGCTGCTCAGTTAAAAACAAACAAAAGAAGGAACTACTGATCAGTAAAGTATTACTTTAAAAAAAAGAAATAAAAATGAAAAAAAAATAGTAGTAGGACAGACTGGATCTGGGAAATGACTGTCAGCAGCTCAGCTGTGCATCAGTCTATATGTCACTCTCAATACTCTGTGTTCAGGTAAGACTGAAGAGCTGCATTGCAGAGAGTGATTTTAAAATATTAGGGGAGTATTATTATTGTAAAAAAGACACTGTCACAAGCTGTGCCTGGCTTGTTAGTCTGAACTTTCATGTGGTCAAGTATATTGACAGTTGTTTTTATGCAGAGGGTCACAGCTTCTGTTGGGTGGGAGACCTGTAGGTACTCGGCGCTCAGCTTCTGGAGCGCCGGGAGGACTTCTGGTTTTTCTGCAGTTGTCCGTCAGGCAACTAAAAACATTTGCAAATTATCCCTTGCAGTCTGTGGTGCTGCCTCAGAGCTTTTTCTCAGTTGTTAGTGCTGACAAAATGTTGTCTTCATCTTGAGCGATGCTTTAAAATTGATTGCAGGGCTGAAATTGTCTGTTACTCTTTTTTTGTTGGGAGGTTTCTGTACATGGACCTGCTGTACGGAGGAGGTTTGGACCAAGCACAGGAAGAATCAGCACTTGGCTATTTTTATTTTTAGGCATGCAAATACACTACATTCTCACTGCTTCACATGTTACCTCTTCCCCAAAACAGTGATGTTTTCTCTTCTTTTCTGCTTTTTGCCAGTGCAGACTTGGTACCTGGAGTAATATTCTCCATGCTTAGAAGTGAGGACAGTATTTCATTTAATTGATTGTTGTGGTCAGGAACAGACTAATTTTCCTTCTGCTGTTACGTAATTGTGTACAGTTCAGTGAAAAAGCTAAGATATTAAAAAAATACCACTGCTCTATTAAAATGTCACATTTAAGACTGCCCCTGGAAATAGAATTCATCGTCTTTGCTTATACGTGGTGATAGCACAGGCCCACTAAAAGCATTCCTCGGCTGAGATTACCTGTTTTCCACTAACTTGTGTTCCTAGAAATGTCTGAACTTATTTTCATTCAAACATCAAAACCAAAAAAGTCAATGCATTTTAATTGTTGAAACAGTCAAATAGTGCTTATCTTAAATGATGTCTTCATTTGAAGGCATCAGTGGTCTGTTAAACACTGTTCAGAAGCTGCCCCTTAAGTATGGATTGCAGTGCCAACTTTGCCAATAAATATATGTATTAGATGTCTATTTGATTGCCTATAACTGACATGTTTTAAATTCATTCTTTCGTGAGTGCCCAACAGATAGTTTTCTCTGTCTCTTGGTGGAATTTCTTGTATTTTGGGTAGGTGCCAGCACATCGGCTGGTCTGATAGGGAGGCAAAGGCAAAGCCTCTTACCTATCAACAGGTGGGTTGTAAAATACGTGCCATGGGGATGCTGCCTCAGAGCTTGGTACCCTTCAGCATAGGTGTCAGGGATAGCATGTGGACAGAGTTGGGATAGCTTGTGTCAGGGAGTAGGAGCAGTCATCTCACAAGAGACATTTTGGGGATAGCTTTTCTCTCCTAGCTCCTACCTGATTTCTGAAGGGATGATCATTGGTACCTTGTGTCTCTGCAAGGCAGTGCTTGCTGCTGAAGACATAACACTCTGTCCATAAGAGAGCTCAAATCTTCATTCAGCTTCTCTTCTAGTCCCCACCATGGTCTGTGAGGCAATAGGGCAGCTTGAGCTCTTCTTTCTTCTCATTACCTTCCCTCTCTAAAGCCTTCTTGGACCTAAGTGATCACTTGCATCAGACACGTTCAGTCTCTTTCTCCCACAAGGTTAAGCCCAGTGAAGATCTTTCCCAAGGTGCTTCCTATACCATTGCTATGAGAAGAACAGAAGGAATTAGGCTAATCAGGGAGATGTTGTGAATTCAAGAGGGATATACTCAGTTATTTGGTAATATGATTTATAACAGCCTATTAATATGATTTATAACAGCCTATACAGTAAGTGAAATTTTTATCTGTTAGATCTAATTGACATAGATGTCACATGCAGAAGGAAA